GCCCTCTCCAGGCCCAGGGGGAGGGGGTAGGGGGAGGGGTTAAACCCCTCCCCGAAGGGGAAAAAGGGGGTTGAGAACAGAGCGGGCTCTCTAAACCACTCACGCCCAAAGGGCTGGTGGGATTCTCTGCGGCAGGTTTGCGCCGCCTCGACGCGGCGGCGGCCTCAGCGTGCGCGTCCAAGGTTGATCGCCGCAAGTTGTCTGGAATCGGCCGACATCGAAGAATCAGCGTTGTCGGAAGCCCTCGATCGCCGTGAAGCGGTCCGCGCGGTGGCGCGCTTGCACCGATCTCGGCCGGGCCTAGCGTGGGCCCAGTCTCGCTGTGTACGGCGCCCAGGCCAAGCCAGGAGGGCGTACGGCAGGTTCGCGTCGTGTCGACCGGCTGCGACCCCGCCAGCGGCGTTCAACGCCGCGGGCGGCCCAGACTCGTTCGATGTGGAACGATCTGGACGCTTCGGGAACGGCCGACCGTTCCAGGTCGAGCGATCCCCGTGGTGTCAGGAACCAACGCCGAAGTCGGCGCGACACGAGCCCGACGTGTGCACGAATGGGCCCAGCCAACATGTGTTCGGGTGTGTACCAGGAGGGGAAAAAATACACAGACACAAGTAATCGTCGATTCCTCCAAAATATAGGAAAATATGGGAAGTGGGGGGAAGACAAAAACCCAGAAAATATTAGAAATATTGGGAATCCTGTTTTTTGCGCCTATTTATTTGTGTGCCCCATGGCCCCTTCAGTGTAGTTGGCGCGCCCCCTGCCGAGCAGGAGCGGCAGCACCCACACGGACCTCTGCTCTGCGTGCGCCGGCCCTCCAGGGGATAAGCATAGGGTTAAGTCGGGCCTGTCCCTCTAGAAGAGGAATATCCAAACACAGTCGAAAAATAGTCAGGAAGCATTTTTTCTTACCATTTTAGGATTTGTTTGCGATTTGTTTTGGTATTTTTGATTTTTCGTCCAACATCCGCCTGTAGGGGGACAGGCCCGACTTACACATAGGGGGGGATGCATCGACCCCCAATCGCCCATCGATCGCCCATAGGGGCCAGATAGCCCCAAGCTGCCCAGGAAGGTGCGGATTCATTATCGCAGGCCCATCGCCGATCTATCGGCGATGTACTGCTGGTTCAAGGTCGATGCCTTCCCCCCAATGCCAGTCACCCTCTATCATTGCCCCTCAAGGAAGCTTTTTGTTTGTACACTCGGTGGCGGTCGTTTTCTGGCCATGCCGCCTGGGTGACAATATCTTACAAATACGTTGCGCTACATGCTCGGTTCGGACGTGCGCCTCCAGTGGGAGCGCGCAGTACCAGTTTGCTTGTCAGCGCCTGAGGTATGCCTCCCTGGCTCTGGGAGGGTGTATACGCGGAGGGGCCCGGGCAGTACCGATGCAGGCGTGCAGTTGGCGCGTTTCCGAAGCCGAGCCGATCTGGACCGCCCCGAAGCCGCATCGTTCCGAAGCCTGCGCCCCTCAGGCGCAACGTCAGGGCGAGACAAAGCTCAGGGGGGGAATGCATCGACCACCGAACGCCCATGCATCGCCGGTAGCCCATCCTGTCCGAGAACGCGCAGGTTCGTCATTGAGAGCCCATCGCCGATCTATCGGCGATGTATCGTCGGTTCCAGCTCGATGTCTCCCCCCCTGAATTGGTTCCCCTAACGTAGCTGCTCAGTATAGCTGGATCGCCTCCGACCCCGAAGCCACATCCAAGTGCGATCTAAGACAACCCAGCACGCAGTTGTTTGTGTGGTCGTACGTTTTGATCTCACTTTTTGATTTGTCATGAGGCGTGTGGTAGGCAGGGCCAGTGACTTCCATATTCGTGCTAACTGCCAATGAGAGTCCCATGGAGAAAAGAGGGGAACGCGATGAACCCAAAGAGCTCTCAAGCTGTGATTTCGCAGGGTTTCTTCCCCTGGCTCTTGTTGTGGACGTATCTAGTGACTTTTAGATTCGAGCCTCGGCGGCTACGGGAGAGATAGGAAGAGGCACAGCGATCATGCTTCGCGAGGGCGAGCGTGGCAAGCACCACCAGCAAGGACGCCAGATCCCCGCTCTCGCCCGTGGTCTCTGTCGCCTCCGAGCCAGGAGCCTGCAGCGCTTCGGTCGTCTCGTCCCCGGAGGTTGTGCCGCCTGCGCCCATGCGCTTGCCCGCCTTGCGAGGGCATGTTCTGACCTGTCCCCATCTCGACTGTCGGAGGGGAGGGAGAAGCGACCGACACCAGCACCACCACCCCCAGAGGGGGCCACCTCCAGCGGGGAGGTCTACGATGCCTCCCCGAGCTGGGGATGAGGGACGTCTTGAGCGGGAGGGGGGACCACGCCCGCGCTACCAGGGCCTCCTTGTTGGGAGTGATGGTGTCGCGTTTCTTCTTTGTTCCTACACTGGGCTGTCATGTCTCAGCCCCACCAGCCCACCCACACAGGTGGGGATAGGCACCGCTCTGCACCATGCCTGGACTCCCTTCAGGCCCCGCTCCAGCGCGGCACGTTGCATAGTTCTTCGGCTCTGAGGACCAGAACCGTACCATTCCCAGGTCGAAGCTCGCCGACGCCTCGGGGTACAACAGCGCGTACAGTGCACACAAGCCGTCCGCGGAGAAGATACACGGTGATAAGGTTTCTCCTGTTTGCCAACATGTTGTGGTGTTGGGTCCTCAATTTGACGATTCCCGCGCCTCCTCCTCCTCTTCCTCCTCCTCTCCTCTCCTCCCCTCCTCTCCCCTCTCCTCTCCCCTCTCCTCTCCCCTCTCCTCTCCTCTCCTCCCCTCTCCTCTCCTCCTCCTCCTCTCCTCCCCCTCCCCTCCTCTCTTCATCAGCCTTTCCCTTATCCTCTCCTCTCCTCTCCTCTCCCCTCCTCTCATCTCCTCCTCCTGCCACTCCCTCTCCCCCTCCCCCATCCCCCTCCTCATCCTCCTTCTCCTCCGCCTCCTCCTCCTCCGAACCCTGCTGGCGGTCTTCACCGCTCCCTCCAGGGCTTCGGCGTGGTGGCGAGCTCGCCAGGACATTGAAAGGAAGTGGTTTCGTTATGCTCCCATTCGCGCAGCGCCTTGGCAGCCTATCGCACTGCCCCCCCGACCCTGGGGAAGATCTGCTCTTCTCGTGACTGGAGCTCTTCTGTCAGGCAGCTGTTTCTTGTGAAAGTTGACCTCATCCTGCGGAGTTGTGCTTCATATGAATTTTGAATGCGGTAATTTCTGGTATCGTTCGAGGCACTGCATGAGGTACTTCTTGGGATCGCGGTGTGTTCGGAGCTTTCTGGTGACGTAAGCGTTACCGTATGTGGTTCCTGTCGGAGCTTTCTGTTCACGTGGGAGTTATCGTATGTGGTTATGTTTACCCGTCGTGGTCTTCTATGTGGGCGTGAGAGTTTCCAACGTCATCCTCGAGGATTTCGGCTTGCAGCAACTCCTGACGCCCTTCTTCATTGTTGGGTTTGGCGGCTCCTGCTCCTGCTTCCACTTGCCCGCCCGCCCCGCCCGCCCTGGCCTCCCGCCCGCGCGTTCGTCGTCGTGTGCTTGCTTATGCCATCTTCGTCCCCTTCCGCTGGGCAGCACAGCCTGCCCGGAACCAGCGTGGCGGCGTATCGGAGGCTTTCGGAGGTTTTGTCGGAGGTTTCCTGGGCGCTCCCACAGGCTGAAAGAGGTTGGTACACACTGCCGCCAGCTCGGGGGACGCTGCTGGGACCCGCGCTCGGCAAACCTGGAAGCTCGTGGGCTTGTTCGTGGATCGCATGCAGTTCATCGGTGACTAGCCCTCATGTGGGTATGTGGCGGTTGATGTTTAAAAAAAGTCCTCCTCCGCCTCTCTTCTCCGCTTTTGAGGCTGACGATTTCACTGCCCACTAGACTCGGGCCCATTGCAGCATGGTGGATGTGCAGAACGGCCGCACCACCCTCTGGGAGAAGCGCGGCAACGATGCTGCGGATGAGTTCGCGAAGCGAGGTGCCGCCTTCCATGGAGTGGAGGAGAGCGAGTACCATCTCTGGCGTGGCCTGGTCGAGGCCTCGAGGGCGGTGGGGCGGTGGAGCGGTCGGTTGCACGCGTTGGAGGGGGATGGAGAGGCCTGCCAGGACCGCGATGATTTAATGGAGTGCTATGTGGCAAGCCGCGAGCTGCTGGAGGCCCCGCCAGAAGCACCAGAGGCCCAGACTGCGGAGTCGAGGCTGGCATCTGCGGGCGCGGAGGGCCCCACTCTTTCGGCTCCTGCAGAAGGCATCGCCGAGTACCGAGAGATCGGGTACAAATTCAACGGACACCCGCTCCTGCACACGACAGTGTGTGCCAGGTCGGGGCGAGATGATGGCAAAACCATCAACTTTTGTTGCGCGCGCGGGGCGTTCTTCAGCTCCGAGCGCCCGTCCAAGGCCCTCCTCTTGCCGTGCTTCAGGGAGCTCGCGGGATCGGGCTTGAAGTACCAGCTAGCCCTCATTGAGGCTGGCAAGTGCCCTTCCTACAAGGCTGGTCTGAAGGACCTCTGCCTTGATCCCCCAGTCGGTGTCCCGCTGGGGGTGCGGCTGCGTCTTGCGTCGCTTTTTGGGCTCGGGCGAGCCTGCCCCCAGCGCCTCGGATCGGGGCGTGGGGAGTGCGGGGCTGCGTGGTGTGGGCACTTCGGGGGGGAAGGACGTCCCGTGATGAGGTGCTGAGGGCCTTCGGCCTCCGAGAGTCTGACCTGGCGGCCACACGTGCGGAGGGGGCCAGACTCCTGCGCAAGGGCGCAGACACGGGGGCCATAAGGGGCTCACGATGTTGATTTCGAGGAGACCTCTGAGGCCTCGAGCGACGGGCGCTAGGCCCCCGAACGTCTGGCTCCAGGTCGCTTGCTCATCTCATCTCATCTCCTCCTCCTCCCCCTCCTCCCCATCCTCTCCTCTCCTCTCCTCTTGCCCCCTCCTCCCCAACTCCCCTCCGCATGCCCATGTCGGCATACCCCATCGCACGTCTCGTGATCACGCTTCTTGTTCTTGTCTGCGCCCCGCCGGAGCAGCGCGGCCGGCAGGTGCAGTACCTCGCGGCCGCAGGGGCGGACCTCCTGCCCGCGGCCGCGCCCGCCGCCGAGCGCCCGCGCCTCGGCCATCGGCGGCCGCGCGCGTGCGTGCAGACGCCGTCGGCGAGGGCGGAGCGCTCCGGGGATCGAAGGAACCGCCGACGGCATAGGCATCGCAGTGCGGGGGCCGAGCGGGCATCCGTTGTCCCTGGGTGCGTGGCAGAAGTGGCGTTCCGTCCGGCGGATTCTGCTGGTTGTGCTGCTGGGCTTTCGCCTCTAGAGAGGCACCGTCGTTGAGGCCCCCCTTGCCCGGTGCCCAGTGTGTTTTTCAATTGCGTGCTCTTCCCGGGGCTCGCACCTTGCTTTCTACCAGCGAAGGCTTGCGCCTCAGAATGCGTTGTTGGCCCCCGAGCTACCACAACAACGGTTCCCGCCTGATACTTCCGCACATGCTATTCAAAGTTGCGTTGTCGCGCTTCACGCCCTCACAACGTATACAGGAAGCACGCCCTCGACACTCAGGAATTACGCTCTCGCGTTGGATTTCCTGACGGCTTATGTAGGAATCACGCTATCGCTCGAAATTTCTGCGCGAATCATGTTAGGATGACGTTTCAGGAACCCGCCCGCTCGATCTGGCCGTCTGGGCCCGCTCGCCCGACCTGCCCGTCAGGGTCCGTCCGCCCTCCTGGCCCGCCCGTCTGGTTCTGCCGCTTGTACTCCTGCTCCTAGCCCCTCCTGCAAATCTCTCTCGTGCTCCATCCTTCTCCCTCCCTCCTGTCTCTTCACCCCTCCCTCCCTTCCCCTGTTTCAGGGGCTGTGCCCAAACACGGGGCAGGTGAGGAAGATATACCCCCAAGGGAGGCTACGATCTATTACGAAGTGGGCGGGTACCGGATGACACGCGAGCATCTGAAAGCGAACAGTGTATGATCTAAAAGGCTGCCGCCTCTGCCGCCGGCCCCAAAGAAGGGCTCGGGTTTCTTTCGGGGGCCTCTTGGGCCCAAGCTGTAGTTTTCGCGGCGTGTCACGCTGAGGGGGGCTTGCGTCTTTGGGGCGTCCGGGGGCGCTCTTTGGAGATTTGGGGGTTGTTTTGTGGGTTCCAGTGAGGTTGGGAGGTTGTGTGGGCTGTTCGCAAGACGAGAGTCGAGTAGCATGTGGTCGCATGGCGGGCTTCGTGGCGCACCGCTTAGCGATGGGTCTTGCTTCCGCGAAGAATCCGCGCGCTCCGCGGCCACCAGGCAGGCGGCACTGGCCGTGCGGATCCTCAGCCTCACGATGATGATGGTGGTTGCGATGATGAGTATGGTGAGGGTGCGGACGGGGATGATGATGCTGATGATGATGATGGTGACGATGATCAATATGGTCACGACCCTACTGCTGATGATGTTGATGGTCTTGATGCTGGTGCTCATGATGATGGTGGTGGTGGTGGTCGTGGTGGTGATGATGATGATGATGATGATGATGATGATGATGATGATGCTGATGCTGATGCTGATGCTGTTACTGCTGATGATGTGCAGCGAACGCGATCTGTGTTTATCTGGGGCGATTGAGGAGGGGGTGACGCTTGTAGGGTAGGAGCAAACCACAGCAGCTCAATCGTCGGTAAGAGCACACTTCAAGTTTGGGTCCTGGCGTCGTTTTTTGTACGGTGCAGGGTCTCTAAATCAGTACACACAGAAGATCCAGGAGTGTGGGGGTGTCAGAGGGGGTGGGGGGTCCCGCCTTGGTTCTTTGTAGGGTGCAGGGTCCTTAAAACACTACACACAGAAGGTCCAGGAGAGTGGGGGTGTCAGAGGGAGTGGGGGGTCCCGGCGTCGTTTTTTGTAGGGTGCAGGGTCCCTCCAACAGTACACGCAGAAGGTGAACGAGGGAGGGGGTGTCAGACGGGGTGGGGCGTCCCGGTGTCGTTTTTTGCAGGGTGCAGGGTCTCTAAAGCAGTACACACAGAAAGCCTAGGAAGATGGGGGTGTCAGAGGGGGTGGGTGGTCCCGGCGACGTTTTTTTTGTAGGGAGCAGGGTCTCTAAAACAGTACACACAGACGGGAGGTGTCAGAGGGGCTTGGGTGTCTGCGTCGTTTTTGCGGGGTGCAGTGTCTCTAAAACAGTACACACAGAAGATCCAGGAGGGTGGGGGTGTCAGAGGGAGTGGGGGGTCCCAGCGTCGTTTTTGACGAGTGCAGGGTCCCTAAAACACTACACACAGAAGGTCCAGGAGGGTGGGGGTGTCAGAGGGGGTGGGGGTGTCCCGGCGTCGTCTGTTAAAGGGTGCAGGGTCTTTGAAACAGTACACACAGAAGATCCAGGAGGGTGGGGGTGTCAGAGGAGGTGGGGCGTCCCGCCGTCGTTGTTTGTAGGGGGCAAGGTCTCTAAAATAGTACGCACAGAAGGTCCGGGAGGGTGGGGGTGTCAGAGGGGGTGGGGGGTCTCGGCGTCATTTTTGTAGGGTACGGAGTGTCTCAAACAAAACAAAAAAGAAGGTCCAGAAGGGTGTGGGTGTCAGAGAGGGTGGGGGGTTCCGGCGTCGTTGCTTGCAGGGTGCGGGGTCTTACAGAAGGTCCAGGAGGGTGGGAGTGTCAGAGAGGGTGGGGGGTCCCAGCGTAGTTTTTTGTAGAGTGCAGGGCCCCCAAAGCAGTACACACAGAAGGTCCAGGAGGGTGGGGGTGTCAGAGGGGGTGGGGCGTCCCGCCGTCGTTGTTTGTAGGGGGCAAGGTCTCTAAAATAGTACGCACAGAAGGTCCGGGAGGGTGGGGGTGTCAGAGGGGGTGGGGGGTCTCGGCGTCATTTTTTGTAGGGTACGGAGTGTCTCAAACAGTACAAACAGAAGGTCCAGAAGGGTGTGGGTTTCAGAGAGGGTGGGGGGGTCCGGCGTCGTTGCTTGCAGGGTGCGGGGTCTTTAAAACAGTGCACACAGAAGGTCCAGGAGGGTGGGAGTGTCAGAGAGGGTGGGGGGTCCCAGCGTGATTTTTTATAAAGTGCAGGGCCCCCAAAGCAGTACACACAGAAGGTCCAGGAAGGTGGGGGTGTCAGAGGGGGTGGGGGTCCGGGCGGGTTTTTTTTGTAGGGTGCAGGGTGTCTAAAACAGTACATGCAGAAGATCCAGGAGGTTCGGGGTGTCAGAGGGGGTGGGGCGTCCCGGCGTCGTTCCCCTAACAGCGAAGACTGATAGGTTTCTAGTGGGCTCAAAAGAGAGCATCCGGACAGATCCGGACAAAAGGGTCAGCCCCAGGAATCGTTAGGAATCCAGTCCCAGAACACCATTCCCAGGCCACATTTTGAATGCCCGGAGCCAACTGTAGACCACTTCGTGTTCTTCGTGCTCCCAGAACACCACTCCCAGGCCAAATTTTGAATGCCCGGAGCCAACTGTAGGCCACTTCGTGTTCTTCGTGCTCCCAGAACACGATTCCCAGGCCGCATTTTGAATGCCCGGAGCCAACTGTAGGCCTTTTCGTGTTCTTCGTGTTCCCGGAACACCATTCTTGCACCATACTTTGATTGCCCGGAGCCAACTGTGGGCCATTTCGTGATCTTTGTGTTCCCAGAACACAAGTCCTGTGCCATATTTTGAATGCTCGAGCCGAGGCAAGCTGAGGCCGAGGCAGGCTGAGGCCGAGGCAGGCTGAGGCTGAGGCTGAGGCAGGCGCCGAGGCAGGCTGAGGCTGAGGCTGAGGCAGGCTGAGGCTGAGGCTGACGCAGGCTTAGGCCGAGGCAGGCTGAAGTTGAGGCTGAGGCAGGCTGAGACTGAGGCTGAGGCAGGCTGAGGCTGAGGCTGATGAGGCTGAGGCTGAGGCTGAGGCTGAGGCTGAGGAGGCTGCAGGCTGAGGCTGAGGCTGAGGCTGAGGCTGAGGCTGAGGCAGGCTGGCTGAGGCAGGCTGAGGCTGAGGCTGATGAGGCTGGCTGGGGCGAGGCTGAAGGCTGAGGCTGAGGCTGAGAGGCAGGCTGAGGCTGAGGCTGAGGCAGGCTGAGGCTGAGGCTGAGGCAGGCTGATGCTGAGGCAGGCTGAGGCTGAGGCTGAGGCTGATGCAGGCTGAGGCTGAGGCAGGCGGAGGCTGAGGCGAGGCTGAGGCCTGAGGCTGAGGCTGGCTGAGGCTGAGGCTGAGGCAGGCTGAGGCTGAGGCTGAGGCAGGCTGAGGCTGAGGCTGAGGCTGCAGGCTGAGGCTGAGGGCTGAGGATGAGGCCGAGGCTGAAGCAGCTGAGGCTGAGGCTGCAGGCTGAGGCTGAGGCTGAGGCTGAGGCTGAGGCAGGCTGAGGCTGAGGCTGAGGCTGAGGCTGAGGCTGAGGCAGGCTGAGGCTGAGGCTGAGGCAGGCCGAGGAGGCAGAGCTGAGGCTGATGCTGAGGCAGGCTGCGGCTGAGCCTGAGGCAGGCTGAGGCTGAGGCAGGCCTGAGGCCTGCAGGCTCAGGAGGCTGAGGCAGGCTGGCTGAGACTGAGAGGCTGAGGCTGAGGCTGAGGCTGATGCAGGCTGAGGCTGAGAGGCTGAGGCTGAGGCTGAGGCTGAGGCTGAGGCCGAGGCTGAGGCTGAGGCTGAGGCAAGCCGAGGCAGGCTGAGGCTGAGACTGAAGCTGAGGCAGGCTGAGGCTGAGGCAGTGGCTCAGTCTGAGGCTGAGGCAAGCTGCGGCTGAGGCAGGCTGAGGCTGAGGCAGATGCAGGCTGAGGCTGAGGCAGGCTAAGGCTGAGGCTAAGGCTGATGCAGGCTGAGGCTGAGAGGCTGACGCTGAGGCTGAGGCAGGCTGAGGCTGAGGCCGAGGCAGGCTGAGGCTGAGGCTGAGGCAAGCCGAGGCAGGCTGAGGCTGAGGCCGAGGCAGGCTGAGGCTGTGGCTCAGGCTGAGGCAAGGCTGAGGCAGGCTGAGGCTGAGGCTGATGCAGGCTGAGGCTGAGGCAGGCTGAGGCTGAGGCAGGCTGAGGCTGAGGCTGAGGCTGAGGCAGGCTGAGGCTGAGGCCGAGGCTGAAGGCAGGCTGCAGGCTGAGAGGCTGAGGCTGAGGCAGGCTGAGGCTGAGACAGGCTGAGGCTGAGGCTGAGGCAGGCTGAGGCTGAGGCAGGCTGAGGCTGAGGCCGAGGCAG